AGGGGCCGGCCTCGGTTGAATTCGTGACAATTTCTCTCCAATGTAGTGCACACATTTGTTCACATCCCTGTCAGTGAGCATTTCTCCTTTGCCAGGATAATCCATCCACCTGACAGGTGTGGCATATCAAGAAGCTGATTAAACAGTATGATCATTACACAGGTGCACGTTGTGCTGGGGACAATAAAAGGCCACTCTAAAATGTGCAGTTTTGTCACACAACAGAATGCCACAGATGTCTCAGGTTTTGAAGGTAATTTGCATGCTGATTGCAGGAATGTCCACCAGAGCTGTTGCCAGAGAATTTAATGTTAATTTCTCTACCATAAGCCGCCTCCAACGTCGTTTTAGAGGATTTGGCCGTACGTCCAACCGGCCTCACAACCGCAGACCACGTGTCACGCCCTGGCTCTGGGGACACTGTTATGTTGAGCCAGGGTGTGTAATTCTATGTTTGTATTTCTATGTTGGCCTGAGTGACTCCCAATCAGAGGCAACGAGTGTCAGCTGGTTGTCTCTGATTGGGAGCCATATTTAACTGTCTGTCTTTCACTTTGTGTTTGTGGTTTCTTGTTCTTATTTGGTTTGTGTTAAACCGTAGACGTCACGTTATCGTCTGTTGTTTTGATCGTGTGATCATTAATTAAATAAATATGTTCACCTTCAACGCTGCGCATTGGTCTCTCCCTGACGATCGTGACAGAAGAAACCACCAGAACTGGACCAAGCAGCCTAGTGAGGAGCAGAGTGGGTGGACTTGGCAACAGTGGAGGCAGAGCTTCGACTGGGTCAAGCCGAATGAGGAGCTGAATGGCGGAGATTGGAAGCAGAAGAGCGAGAGTTGGGCGAGAATTATCGAGGCCTGGCCCACGGGGAGGAGAGACTCCCAGAACATTTTTAGAGGGGGGCTCACGACGTCGGACCAGCAGGAGGCCGCGATAGAGCGGCCCAGCGGGTTGCCAGAGGAGGCCGCCAGGTTACGGGGGCCACTGGTCGAAGAGGGGATGGAGGATGTAGAGGCACGGCGAGAGGTACTGGCGTGTGTTGCCAGTCCGGTCCGGCCCATTCCAGATCCCGGTGTAGGGCCAGTGGTGTGTGTCCCCAGTACGGTCCGGCCCATTCCTGCTCCCCGCACCAAGTCTGTGGTGCGTTTCGTCAGCCCTGTCCGGCCCGTTCCTGCTCTCCACACCAAGTCTGTGGTGCGCGTCGCCAGCCCAGTCCGGCCCATTCCTGCTCCCCGCACCAAGTCTGTGGTGCGTTTCGTCAGCCCTGTCCGGCCCGTTCCTGCTCTCCGCACCAAGTCTGTGGTGCGCGTCGCCAGTCCAGTCCGGCCCATTCCTGCTCCCCGCACCAAGTCTGTGGTGCGTTTCGTCAGCCCGGTCCGGCCCGTTCCTGCTCTCCGCACCAAGTCTGTGGTGCGCGTCGCCAGCCCAGTCCGGCCCATCCAAGCTCCCCGCACCAAGTCAGTGGTGCGCTTCGTCAGCCCGGTCCGGCCCGCTCCTGCTCCCCACACCAGGCCAGTGGTGTGCGTCGTCGGTCCGGCACGGCCCGTGCCTGTTCCACTGGTGCCTGGTCCGGCACCGGTCAGATGCGTTACGCCGGAGCTAGAGCAATCCGCTCCATCAGTGTGCAGTCCAGCTCCGGCCAGCGGGGCCAGACCGGACCAGGGGTACTTTGGGGGGTTGGAGAGGGAGTGGGGATCAGGCCCGGAGCCGGATCCGCCGCCAAGGCGGAGTGCCCACCCGGTCCCTCCCCTGTGGTATTTAGTTGGCGCGGTCGGAGTCCGCGCCTTTAGGGGGGGGTACTGTCACGCCCTGGCTCTGGGGACACTGTTATGTTGAGCCAGGGTGTGTAATTCTATGTTTGTATTTCTATGTTGGCCTGAGTGACTCCCAATCAGAGGCAACGAGTGTCAGCTGGTTGTCTCTGATTGGGAGCCATATTTAACTGTCTGTCTTTCACTTTGTGTTTGTGGTTTCTTGTTCTAATTTGGTTTGTGTTAAACCGTAGACGTCACGTTATCGTCTGTTGTTTTGATCGTGTGATCATTAATTAAATAAATATGTTCACCTTCAACGCTGCGCATTGGTCTCTCCCTGACGATCGTGACACCACGTGTATGGCGTCGTGTGGACGAGCGGTTTGCTGACGTCAACGTTGTGAACAGAGTGCTCCATGGTGGCGGTGGGGTTATGGTATGGGCAGACAAAAGCTACGGACAACGAACGCAACTGCATTTTATCGATGGCAATTTGAATGCACAAAAATACCGTGACGAGATCCTGAGGCCCATTGTGAGGCCCATTTTTTAAAGGTATCTGTGACCAACAGATGCATATCTGTGTTCCCAGTCATGTGAAATCCATCGATTAGGACCTAATGAATTTATTTAAAATGACTGATTTCCTCATATGAACTGTAACTTAATTGTTCCATGTTGCGTTTAGATTTTTGTTCAGTATATTTAACACATTTTGCCATGAGGCTGAGAGTAAATGTA